GTCTCCTGCTGCCTGCTGCCTCTCAGCTCCTTCTCTAGCACCATGTCTGCCTGGACACTGCCGTGCTTCCCACCATGATGATGATGGACTGAACCTCTGAAACTGTTAGCCAGCACCAATGAAATGTTTTCTTTTATAAGACAAGAGCCTCAGTTGAGGTAATGCCTCTAAGAGATCCGGCTGTAAGGCATGTCTCAGCTGGTGATCAATAGGGGATGGCCAGGTCCGCTCTGGGTGGTTGTTGTGGTAAATATTTTAAACCAGCAGCACCCAATCTTGCTTGTTCTTAATCTGCCACCATCTTCCCTAGCCTAGGCCTATGGCCACGAGTGGCGGTGTATTTTCACTACTGCTTGGCTCAGGCCTCTGGCTCATGCAGCCAGAGACATCGGCCCTGCCACCCATGAGACGACAGTGTGGGAGATGGCTCTGCCCATCTGCCCAGACCATCCTGCCATCCATTCGGTACCTGGTAGAAATGAGACTCTAATGTTTAAAGAGTATCCAATAGCTTTATATATTTGGTAATGCTCAATAAACAAGATGCTCACACAATTGGAAGTGTTAACCAATTAACTAACCTAGATGTAAGTTGTTACCCAGGACTGCTCTCGGTACATGCGTGGTCATCCAGGGCTCCTACATCTGTCTTCCTAGCTCCTCCTCTTCCTTCTCCTCTTCCTTCTCCTCTTCCTCTCCTTACTCTTCCCACCTTAGCTCCTCCCAACTTGCAGGGATAATTTCCCACTACAGGTGTTGTCATCCCTGGGCTGGTGGTCCTGGTTTCTATAGTAAAGCAAACTGAGCAAGCCAGTAAACATCACCCCTCCATGATGTCTGCATCAGCTCCTGCCTCCAGGTTCCTGCCCTGCTTGAGTTCCTGCCCTGACTTCCCCTGATGATGGACTGTGATATGGAAGTGTAAGCCAAATAAATCCCTTTCTACTCAACTCACATTTGGTCATGGTGTTTCATCACAGCAGTAGAAACCTAAGACAAACAGTATCTTTGTTATCTCAATTTAAAGACGAGGAGACTGAGGCAGAGAAAGGCGTAACCTACCCAGTTAGATGGCTTGAAATATTTAACTTTGTTTATTTTTAACTTTCTACACCTCCCTTGTTTTCTGTACCTTTTGTTGATGATAGTGACTTGAAGCTGAAAGCATTCTTTAAAATCAGTTAAGCACCCTTATCTGGGCAGCAGAGTAGAGCTGACCCTGACCTTGCAATGAGCATTGCAAGCAAAGAAGTATGGATAAAAGTGTACACTGTGGACACACTGAACACACCACAGCTTTCACAAGGAGAGGTTTTTCTCTGTTGGGGGGCAGAGGTTGCTAGGATGGAAGGCGAGTGTAAGGGCAGAGGGAGAGGAGTGGGATTGGGGTGCATGATGTGAAATTCACAAAGTGCCAATAAAAAGTTTTTTAAAAAATCTAGTTAAGCACAACCACAGTGCAATGAGGTCTATTTTTGGGGAAATCATAACTGTTCATTACACCATCTTCTAAACGTTTAACATAAGTGCAGATACGTTAGATATATATATTCAAAGTGCATGGAGTCATTCTGAAAAAGTAAGGACACTTTTTATTTTTTTCAGTGTGGAGAGAAGAAAAGGAATATATATATATATATATATATATATAAATTAGGAGATAGGGAGATGGCTCAACAGGTCAGATCTCTCTGCTGAGCATGCTTGTGGACCTGAGTTCAGATCCCTGGGATACCTGTAAAGCCAGGCCTGGCAGTGAACATCCGTCTCAGCACTGGGAGTCAGCGACAGGAGGACCCTGCAGCTTGCTGCCAGCCAGTCTAGCCTTAACAACTAGCTCTAGATTCAGTGAAGGATCTGGATTCAGGAGAGAAAGATGCTTAATGCTGATTGTCTTAGTTAGGGTTTTACTGCTGTGAACAGACACCATGACCACAGCAACTCTTAAAAGGGCAACATTTAATTCGGGCTGGCTTACAGGTTCAGAGGTTCAGTCCATTATCAAGGTGGGAACATGGCAGCATCCAGGCAGGCATGGTGCAGGAGGAGCTGAGAGTTCTACTTCTTCATCTGAAGGCTGCTAGGAGCTAGGACGAGGGTCTTAAAGCCCATGCCCCCAGTGGCACACCTATTCCAAAAAGGCTACACCTCCTAATAGTGCCAATCCCTGGGCTAAACATATATAAACCATCACACTGATGAATTCCTGACTTCCACATATACAAGCAAGCACAGCAGAACCCATGTATATATCAGAGATATAACATACACTCACACACACCACACACACAATTACAGACAGAATTGAACTTTCATGATTATCTTAGTTGTATATATCTATGGGGTAGTATAATAGTGGAATACAGAATCTATAACAAAGTTAGCATACTAGGGATTTGCATCTCCTTAAAGTATAATAATTTATTGTTTTAAAATTATAATATAATTAGATCATTTTACCTTCCTTTTTCTCTCCCCAGTCTCTTCCATGCACCCCCGTTGCTGTCTGTCAAATTCATGGCCCCTTTGTATTAATTGAACTATAACCTGCTCAGTGTGTATAATGTTATCTGTATGATGTGAGGGCTGGCCACGTGGTATTGGGTAGCATTCTATCATGGAGGGCGCTCTCCCCTGAGGAAGACCACGTCTCAGTCTCCACGTTTCCCAGTTGCCCGTCATTCTTTTTGTAGGCCTTAGGCCCTGTGAACTTTCCCCCTCCAGAGTTATCTGTTGGTGGCGATGGTGTTCAGGTCTTGTTTAGGCGCCGTGATGAGATTTCATGGGTGTTGCATCTCTAACATTTCTAGGAAACCTCACTGCAACCCTCCTGCTGCTCTGGCTTTTACCATCTTTCCAGCCCCTCTTCCACAATCACTCCTGGCCTTACATGCAAAAATGTAATGTAAGCGTGTCAGTGGGGTTTGGACACCACACAGTCTCTTGATCTTAGTTGTAATTTTCTGTAATGGTCTTTGTTGCAAAGAAAAGTTTCTTTTTGTTCTTGTTTTTGTTTTTTTATGCTTTGTTTGTTCATGTTTGTTTTTGAGACAGGCTTCTTGTGTGTGTGTGTGTGTGTGTGTGTGTGTGTGTGTGTGTGTGTAGCCCCAGCTCTGTAGACCAGACTAACTGGCCTCAAATAAACAGAGATTTGCCTATCTCTGCCTCCTGAGTGTTAGGATTAAAGGCATTTGATACCACCACGAGGCTAAGAAGTTTCTTTGTTAAGGGATATGAAATATACTTAACTGTGTAAGGACAAATATTTACAGTATGGCTAGAAATTGCACTGGTTTAGTAAAGTTGTGTTTAACTATTTTTAACCTTAGATTAGAACCTGGCATGGTGGTGAGCAGTTTAGTCAAACACTGGGGTGGCAGAGGCAGAAGGATGTCCTTGTGAGATAGAGGCTAGGCAGAGTTAGTGAGATGCTATCTCAAAATATAAATTCTAAATATCATAAATCAACATGTATAAATAATTGTCTCAAATGCAGAGTGATAAGAATTACAACATATATGGCTGGAGGGATGGCTCAGTGGACGAAGTGCTTGTCCCCCAGCCTGACAACGTGAGCTCAGTTCATAATATATTTATGTATGGGACTGAACTGGAGGACATTCCACTAAACTAGACGAGTCAGATGTGACCCGCGTATAGTCGTCTTGCCAGCAAGAACGCACGCGGACACCAGGATCCTTCTGCAGCAAACGTTTATTGTGATGTAATGAGGAAGACCCCGGGCCCTGAAAAGGCACTGCTTATATACCCCTGGAGCGGCGTGTTCATCTCTGATTGGCTGCTTGCTCAGGAACGCATATTACGCCCTGGGATGGGCCGTGATTTGGCGCGCGTTCACCACTTGCACATGCGCAGTTCACCTGTAAATGTGGGAGAGCACCGGATGCCAGCGCCATCTTGTAATGGCAAATACTGTCACCGCTCACCGCGGCTCTCTACAGTCAGACACAGAAAGATACAATTTGGTCGTAATATATTTATGTATGGGACAAAGCAGACTGAACTGGAGGACATTCCACTAAACTAAACGAGTCAGACACAGAAAGATACAATTTATTAACTCACAATGATGGTGCCTCACCATACATGTCACAGTGACTCACAGTGATGATGTCACACCATCCATGTCATAGTGACTCACTCACAGTGATGATGTCACACCATCCATGTCATAGTGACTCACTCACAGTGATGATGTCACACCATACATGTCATAGTGACTCACTCACAGTGATGATGTCACACCATACATGTCATAGTGACTCACTCACAGTGATGATGTCACACCATACATGACATAGTGACTCACTCACAGTGATGATGTCACACCATACATGTCATAGTGACTCACAGTGATGATGTCACACCATCCATGTCATAGTGACTCACTCACAGTGATGGTGCCACACCATCCATGTCATAGTGACTCACTTACAGTGATGGTGCCACACCATCTATGTCATAGCAAGTTGTGTGATTAATATCGAGTCATTATGAAGACAATAACCTTTAAGATTATAAAAAGGGCCAGTGGCTGGAGAGACGGCTCAACTGTTGTAGAAAGTATTTAATCCCAATCGAGGGTTTCTACCCTGCCTTTGACCACTTAGTTCCAGGATAAATGACACATGGAACCTCTGTGTTTACAAGAAGTCTAATCAGCACAAGGGCTGAGCAGATAACTACCCTCTATGCTATTAAGATCTGTTTCCTATGGCTAACCTTGAATTTGTTAACTCCATTGGTCAGCCCTCGGGGCCACGTTTTCATGAATTTACCTAACCCATGGCGGCTCCTCCTTCCTCCTCCTTTCTCCTTGTCCTGGTGATTTTCTCTCAACCCCACAGGCACCCTCACTTTTGGAAAGGGCAAGTAGCATGTTTGGGACCTGACCATCAGGGCAATGGGGCAGCAGCACACTACCCTCAGGGTTGCCCAGGAATCTCACTTGCCTTTCTCGTGTTGTATTCTAGCTGCAGCCCTCCTCCCCTTGAAGATGGAGAAGATGGTGGTGGGGTGCTTGCTGATGCTTGGGCAGCTCCTCCTTGTCCTCCCAGTTGGAGCCAGAGAGCGTCCCCAAGCCAAGTTCACCTCCAGAGGCCGTCATGTCCAGATGCATCCGCAGACTGCACTGCTGGGTGAGTGAGAGTTCCTGCAGCAGCAGGCTGTGTGTGTGTATGTGGTGTGCATGTGGTGTATGTGATGTGTGTGTGTGTGTGTGGTGTGCATGTGGTGTATGTGATGTGTGTGTGGTGTGTGTAGTGTGTGTGATGTGTGTGTGGTGTGTATGGTGTGTGTGTGGGGGGATGCGTGTGTGTGTGTGTGTGTCTGTCTGTCTGTCTGTCTGTCCCTGGACCAAAGTGCCTGGGCTGGGGAGGCTCCTGACTCTGAATTCTCTGCTGGCTATGCTGAGGACTGGGGGGAATCCCACTGGCAATTGACACCTCTGGACTGAGGATGCAAAGTTCCCAGGTTTTTTAAATTAAAATTAAGCTTCTATTTTAAAGCCTTGGGTTTAATGTGGGGATATAACTTTGCTCTAATATACAAGGCCAAAGACTTTCCTTCTGAAAATATCCTTGCTGGAGTTGCCTGGATAGGGGTGTTATAAGAAAATAAAGTGTATTAAATTTGTCTGGAAAAGGCCATCCATATTTCAGCATATGGTGTTGAGGGAGAAGCAGGCAATGCAGGCAGGTGGAGCCTGCATCCAGACATGGGGAATGAAAATGGCAGGTTTCAGTAATTTCCGTTTAGTAGACATGTTTTCTCCAGAAAGAAAATGCCACAAAATATACAGAATACCAGCAGATTGTCTGGTCTGACACAGAGGCTAGCTGTTAAATGTAGCGAGAACATATTTTGGAATGGGTCTGCATTCAAGTCCTGCTGCTGTTTCTCACTGGGTGACCTCTCTGAGGCTCCATTCCTTCGTTTGTAAAATAGAAGCAGAGAGATTGGTTTTGGACCATTTTCAGGGAAGTAAATGAGGTGATTTCTGTGAATTCTAAATATATAATAAACATTGGCTTTAGCACAACCCCACATGATCTTTGAAACCACTTCACCTTTATAGCTTGCAGGCAGCTGTTAGAACACAGACCCTTTGGACAGGTATCTGGGGACCAAAAATTACTGCCAGGGACCTAGGGATTGAAGAACCGTGTTCTGACAGGGCAGAACCTGTTCTGATTGACCGAATACTGAGCCTGTCTTTATTCTCCTAAGAGTCCCTGGTTCAGACTGCCATAGATGCATGTCTTCTACATACTTTGAAAAGAACTGGAAAATGATTAGCACATAAAAAATTAAAGATATTTATATGATAAACATTATACATATTTAAGTATATATAAATAACTGAACACATCTTGATGCTTTCTGTATCACATCTATGACTACATAGTTGGGGTTATTTTATTTTTTTAATAATGTTAGGGACTGAACCCAGGGACTTTCACATACTGGGGAATCACAGCATCACCAAGCCATGTCTACAACCTCATAATGAATTTTTAATACAGTTAGTTTGGGGATGAGCCATCTCTGGTTTAACTGGAAAAGTGGCTCCAAGCCTGTGTTTCTGTCTTTCATACACACACACACACACACACACACACACACACACCTCTAAACTGATAACAGTCAAACCTTCTGAGACAAGGGGTAGACACTTATTTTTCCAAAGGCATCAATCCCTGTGGTGTAACGGATAGAAGGAGAATGGCCTCCTTGGGATCATGCATTTGCATGATTAGTTCCAGTTGGTGAATTGTTTGAGAAGGATTAGGAGGTGTGTTCTTGTTGTAGAAATCGTGTCACTGGAGGTGGGCTTTTCTTTCATTCATTCTTTATGTTTTTTATGGTTTTTTTTGTTTTGTTTTTTGGTGGGCGGTGGGGATGGGAGTGGCAAGGTTTGAGATAGGTTTTCAATGAAAAACAGCCCTGGATATCCTGGGACTTGCTTTGTGGACTAGGCTGGCCTTGAACTCACAAAGACCTGCCTGCCTCTCTGCCTCCTAAGTGCTGGGATTAAAGGCATGTGCCACCACACCTAGTGGGGATGGGTTTTATGCCATTGCCAGTTCACTAACTTTCTGAGCCTCTCACTTGTGGATTGGATAGGAGCTCTCAACTGCTGCCCCAGTGCCATCTTGTCTGTTCCATGCTTCCTAGAATGGTGACCATGGACTGACGCTCTGAAACTAAGCAAGCCCCAGTTAAATGCTTTCTTTTATAAGTTTCCTTGGTTAGGCTGTCTCTTCACAGAAATAGATCATTTACTAAGACACCCCACAACCAGCATCATCCTCTTTACTGGGGAATGTGACAGGGACAAAGGGGCGGGACAGGACACATCTGCAACCTGGGCTTGGAAGCGGCATGCTGTGTGCAGTTGCCTTTCTGCTCCCTGACCTTGAATACTGAGATTCCCAAACATGGAGAAAAGCATGTTTGCTCACAATGGATGCTGAAAAATAACCATGAACCTGGAAGGCAAACCCTGCAGCTCTGGCCGGGGGTCTGGATCACAGTCTCTTTTGGATGGCACTCTGAAGAGAACCAGGTGAAGAAGCCAACAAGTGACTTTAGCCAGATCATGTGGCCTTCTCTCCATCCTTGTTGGGATCCAGGAGTCACCCCACAAATCACACAAACATGGATCTCAGTCAGACAGGGATGGTTTATTGAACGCATACCCTGAGATTGGTCAGTTAGGTGTAGCTCAGAATTTTGGGGCTGAGCTACAAACTTGAACATTTCTCAGAACCTGCTTAAGCAAGGAAAAAAAACACAACGAATTTGTGCAGGTATAGGAAATGCTGCCTGGTGGTTGGCTCTGACTCAGCTACTTTGGATAGATAGACAGAAGAGTTCTAACTGACCTTTATTCTGATTGGTCTTAAGAGGAGCATATGGTTGTTGAAATTGTTAAGGTTAACAAACCTCAGAACATACAGACCATAACAGGGTATGTGATAAGTGTGACCTTGCTCTGAGTCAAGTTATTTATCTATGTCAATGAGTGGCAGGCATGTTACATCAATACATAATAGCTGGCAGCCATGAACAACACGGCTGCAGCTGTGCTGGGGGTGGGGTGGGTCAGGCCTCTGCAATCCTCACAATAGGGAATCTCCTGTTTTATGTGTGTTTGTTTTTCTTTCTGTGTTCAGAACACTGTCCAGGGCACATGGCAGTCCTGGAACATGTCACTTTGCCCACAATTACAGCATCTCTCAGCATGATGTATTCCCTGGTTACTTGCTTACAAGTATTTCTCTGAATTTTGAGTAGAAACAAAGTTGTTTCTTAGGTCATTCATTCATTCATTCGTTCATTCATTCATTAGCTCATTCATTCATTGACAGGGTCTCAGTACATAGCTCTGGCTGGTCTGGAACTTTCTATGCATACTAGGCTGGCCTCAAACTTACAGGGATCTGCTTGCATCTGCCTCCTGAAACCTGTAGTTAAAGGCATGTGCCACCATGTCCTGCCTACGTAGGTTAAGTTTTTGTTCAAACTCTTGTGTATTTTATATCTGTATTCAAATCAGAGTGTCAGTAGCAAATGGGGCTGGGAAGATTGTTCTATTGGTAAAGTCCTTGCTATGCAAATATGAGGACATGACTTCGATTACCAGAATCCATGGTGCTTGTTTTGTTTTGTTGTTTTTTATAAATGCCTGGCATGGTTTAGTGTATGTGTAAGTTCAGTACTGGGAGGTGGAGACAAGAGGGCTCAATGGTTAACCAGTCTAACCTACTTAACCAGCCTAGGGCAAGTTAGAGACTGTCAAAAGAACAAAGTGTGTGGAGTCATAAGGAGCAACACCATCTGGTCTATACACACATGCACACGCATGCACATGCATGCACCTACACACACATAAACATGTACACACACATATACCACCATCAGACATGTACTTCTCTACCCGTCCCTCCTACCAGTGTGTTAAGCCACTCCTTCCTTTATCCACATGGGCTTACCTTGTCTTTTTCATCTACCTGGGGCTTCTACATTGTGATAGACATAACACACAGTGTGGGAGGATTAAGAGCCATGGCCTCCATGAAGAGTGTGTGGTGTGGTGGTGGGGAATGTGCTTACGGAAAGAGCAGTGTGTCTGTGCAGGCATCTCCAAGTGAGCCAGTCTGGAGCTGAGCATGCCTTCTCTAGCTTTTTGATCTCAGGAACTCAGGGGGGCTTCTAGGAAAAGTCTGAGCCTTTCAGGAGACAGTAATGCTGACCACTTTGATTTGAACTCGAGGGACCTTCTAGACCACCACAGCCTTCCTGGGCAGACAAAAGGCAGGCTCTAACTAGCCATGTGACTTGCAAGGGCCATCCAGAGCAATGCTTTTAGGCCAATTGGTTCCTACTCTACAGCCATGATGGTGGCAGGTAGAGTCTGAACAGCATTTGTACTGTCCCCAGAGCCCAATAGGTTTCTTCCCATTTTACCAGTGGCACACACCCCCTTACCAGTTCCTCCCCAGGCCCTTCACAGTGATGTCAGCTAGAGGACACATTGTCCTACCCTCAGATACTGCCTGAATCATCTGTGCACATTTGTTCTCTTTAAACATCACTGTTCTACGGGGGTGATAGAAGTGTGTGTGTGTGTGTGTGTGTGTGTGTGTGTGTGTGT